TGAACTTGGACCGAAAAAACGGTTTGGCTCACGCCAACGATCGCGCATATCAACTTTACCATGCCTTCTTCAGTTTGCAGATTAACGAATGAGCGAGAAGGAACGACCAATATTATTCGTAATAGAATATGACTGATTGTATGTGACACTATACTGGGGCCTAAATTGGGGACTCCTTTCATTCTGACTGACTGACTACCAGAATAACATATTGATGCCCTTCTTCTACGCAACGACTCCGACGGGTAAGACTTGTCCTTTCTCATTTTGTCGATCGAGGAGGCGGTTCACTGCAAGTATGACTACTTGAAATAGGTCAGATTAATCTCTACTATGTCACTTGCACATAGTTTTATACTCCCTGTAAATAGACCAGCTGAACCCCTCACTCTCTCTCTCCTATGTCTCTTCTGGCTACAATGATGAACGTTGTCATCGCCTTCATGGATGCAACGTTTGTGCTTGTTGCAGTAATCAAGTGTATCCGTTGCCAAAGACGTCCAAGTACCTTTTTTGCTGCTATTGAGATCATCGGCTTACAGAAATTTCAATACTGTGCAGATCAAAGTGGATATGATGACGAACGATGCCACTGTAGCTCACACGAGCAGATTAAAAGGTTTGAACAGATATAAATGTTTGTGGCCGCTACAGTCGCTCACGACGCCCCAATTATTTTCATCTTGGCCTTGTACAAGTCCAATGTGGACGTGGTGTGCTAGTACATTTGCTGCAGCATTCCCATCCCAAAGCGAGACTTTTCCTCGAAGCTCAAGTTGATGGCCATCTGTACATTTGATGTGAATATGCCTGGTGATGACGTGGAGAATTTCAAGAGTGGCGTCACAGGTGACTCTATTGTGGAGGGTATGCTGCGTGTTGGCGACGAGATTGAAGTGCGCCTGATAGTGTCAGCAAGAACGAGTAAAGCAAGATGACTTATGTCCCTGTAGTGTCGCTTTGTGTGAACAAGTGCGACCTTCAGTTTCCGTATGCGGCTTCGCTTTAATTTATACACGGATGAAGGTCATTGGGATCTCGTACGCTGATCTTTCTCATTCGCGACCCAATACTCTTCCCAAGCTTTAGCTACTCGCAGAAGCGTCTGCCCGCTTCTCACTTGAAAGATGCCATGGTTTGGGATTTCCTTTCACTCCGTCCTGAGTCACTGCACATGCAAACGTGGCTTTTTCTTGGATCGTGGGATTCTAGCAGGCTACCGATTCATGAACGGCTACGGCAGTAACACGTTTGCTAATGTCAATGCTGAGTGGGAAGATGACTTGTGTGAAGTACCATTTCAATACAGACCACGGTATCCGCAATATGCCTGTCGATGAAGCTGCCTTTCTTGCTGGTGCCGACCCTGACATTGCTAATCGAGATTTGTTCGAAGCCATTGAAGGTAGCGAATTCCCTTCCTGGACGTTGCGTATCCAGACGATGACTCCTGAGCAAGCCAAGAAACTAATTGCGGTTGGTGTGACAAAGGTTGGCCGCATAAATACTAACCAAAGAAGTCGGGCGTTTGGTATTGAACAGAAAGCCGCACAACTACTTTGCCGAGATTGAGCAGCTTGCTTTTCTCCATCACACATGGTATACTAACACCTTTACGCAAGTTCGTGTTTTCCACCGCAAGGTGTTGAAGTGAGGCAGCGCGTGACCAACTTCCGGAAAATATCGCCACTTTGCTTGTGAATGCTTCCAAGCCGGTGCAGTAGCGTACGTTGAAGAGTTGTAATAGTTGTAATAGTTGTGATGAGGGCTACGCACACCGCATGAAGGCAAAGTGCTGAAGACCAAGCACTTGATCTTCAATTATAAGAAAGAAACAACGGCGCCTCTTAATCTACCGCGCAAAGCATTCACGCCGGTGCACCGTAAGTTTCAAATTGGCACTCAAGAGACGGAGTTGTTGTAGCTAATTAAGAACAGACAACGCTATCGCAGGATGAGCCTGTTCATCTAGCTTCGCAATAATTGATATCGACCGTTTAAACAGTAAGTTGAAGACATGCGATGGTGTTGTTTTCTGTTTATTACGAAGGGTACTTGTAATAGGTTGACTTGTCTAAAGCCGTCAAAACATGCCTGTAGAAAACCCAACGATTAAAAGCAGCGAATTGTGAGGTGACCGCTGTCGAAGTCGAGAGCGAAACTGAACTGAAGCAGCTTCATCAAGTAGAAAGGTATGGCCATTCGAGACCTGGAAATGCGAATCACCAGTCACAATCATATGTTCGAATGAATAAGTTTGGAAGAACGTGGCCGTATTGCTTTTTTCTAAAAGCATGGACAGGATATTCTGTTAACTGCACTTTTCCTGAGTGATTCTGAATGAATGCGTTTATACACAGGCAAGTTCAAGAACAATATGCTAAAGCAAGTAAATCACAAACACCTGTTGCGTTCTATTAAAGTTAAGTATGTTGATTCAACGAACACCGATGTCTGCTTGTCTATCTGCTTGTTTCTGTCTGGTGGGAATGTATCACGATAGAATCAACTTCTCAATTGGCTTTTGTTAAAAGCCGAGTAAGTATAACGAATGTAGATGAGCTGCATCGAATCATACCGACTTGTGTTTGGTTAGGTATTCAATAAGTGCTGGTGCTAAATGCAAGCACTTGTAAGAATAGTTCAGGTGTTGCATTCGAATGACCTAAACAATTATGCAGCCCCTGACATTTTTATGGCGCTCACCACTTTGCGTCTAACTTTAGTTTCAGTAGTATCTTTAACATTATCTTCAAGATTGATCAACCCAATTTGACGTTCCTTTCGAACTGCCTTCTCCCTTTAAAAAATGGTTAATAAACTATCACAAGAGCAAGGTAAATATGCACTCTTGAGTTCATTACCATAGCTCCGACTATAAAGCTTTTATTATTTACGATTGAGTTGCTCTTGATTCTTCATTACAGTATATAAGAAATAGAACCTGAACTTGTGCTGCCACTAGCTCTATCTCAGTACATTACTTTTATAACCAGAATAAACGATAAAAATTAATTCTACTGTACAAGTCGTTTGCATACTGTATTATTTTTCAGGTGCAAAGCAAAAGCTCATAGAACCCCCCCCCCCGTAGCAATTGTACGCACTCGTGCTCGCACTGTCGTCACCCGAACAGCGTGAAAACGCATTGGACAACACGTCTTCGGCGGAGGAGGCATCGATTGTTGAGCCAGTGACAACTACCGCGCCATTACACGCGGATACCGCTGAGACGATATGAAGCTCAGTATTGGAACGGTTCTGGTAGTGACTTTGTTTGATTCCTTTTCGATCATGAACGCTCGTCAAGTCTCAACAAATGAATAAGCTGACGAGTTCGTGGCACAAGATGAGGATTGTTGATTTTTAGAGTCCGACGTTGCCAGAATCCGACGTTTCCTGTCGCTGACGTAAGGTCTAAGCGTTGATGTGGGAGCGAAAGCGACCGCAGACAAGTGCGTCAAGCCAATGCACTTGTGTGAACGACACTCCGTTGGCGATTGAGCCGCATTTATCTCTTACCGAGAGCTGATTTTGTTCTCGTGCGATGGCTAGGGTGCTTTTCCAGCTGGGCTGCAGCAGCTCAGCACTATAGCGCGACGTCAGTAATCTCTTCACGCCACGCGGTTTCTCTGCTCGTCGTGCTCGTGATCAGCTGCAGCTACTATCGTAGGTGTCGCGTAGTGCTTGACTTTCTGGAAAACTCCACGGCTAACAGATGCTGGACAGGTTCGTCCGCGATGTCGCGAAGGAGCGGGTGTCTGCAGGTATCGAAGCACTTCGTTTTTGACCTTGGCAACTGCCGTGACCGCGTGGCAGACGCCATTCAGCTGCAATCAAATCGCGAGCTCCACTTGTCGCTGCGCGCTTGGCAGAAGCACGAGTCGGGCGACAGTGGTCCTTGTGGATGGACACAGCACTAGATTGCCTTCCATGGTCTTATGCTCACGACGGAGATATACTGCAATCGAGAGTGGACTAGAGGGGAGACGATGCTGCGGCTCAAGGCACCAGTACCACCACCAGCACTCAGTCACAAAGACATTACGCGCTAGCTGGCCACATCCAGCTGATGGAGATCGACTTGGACGACGCTCACTATACAGCATGACGTAGTGCGCGTCTTTGGTGGTGCTGGCTGCTCTTTCGTGCTTCGCGGCGGTACGCAAAGGTTCGCTTCGCGCTGCCAGCGAGAATGGACTTGGTACCGACTTGAGTGCTTTGGTGCTGGAATATAACGCAGCCGTGTGCAGTAACCATGATGTGCTGCAGCACTGTCCTGACAACTCTCATGCCATTGACGGCCGCCATGACCAAGGGTTCATGCTAGGCTTAAAACGGCGATGGGTCTTCTTTGTCCGACCCAGGCCGCCAGCTAATGCCGCGCTTTGACATATATGCTGAAAAATTTGCCGACCGCGCTCCGACTTAAATGTTGAAGCGGTTCCCCGTCCACCCGATTATCAGCGCTTTGATGCTGCCGCGACCTGGCATCGTAGACGCGGTCCAGCAGTCGGACAACGCCGACACCGGTAACATACTCTGCGCCACACTGAGAAGTGACCAAATGCCAGCGTGCTAAGGCATACGTGGAAGTCGT